GTTACAACTTTTATTTAGATATCATTTTCCAAATCGAATGTTTTCTATGTCGAAAATGGGTCTCAAATGAGATTAAAAATCTGAAGTATACTTTAGTCATCCAATATTCATGTCTTAGTACTACTAAGGTATCTAGAATTATTTGGGGTTATACAAATATCATCAACATACACTAAGAGAGCTATCACTCCTCCTGAGGCCGAATGTTTAATGAAAAGAGTATGATTTCCTTGACTTTATTTATATCTAGTTGCTTTGATCACTCTAGCAAACCTTCTAAACCATGATCTAGGTGATTGTTTACGCCCATATAGAGCTTTTCTCAGTCTACACACACCTTTTTGCCTATCTTCTCCCCTTCAAAACCCAGTGGAATGCTCATGTAGATCTCTTCTTCGAAGTCCCCATATAAAAACGCATTCTTCACGTCATATTGTTGAAATTGCCGATTAAAGTGAGCTGCTAAAGATAAAAAACAATATTCCGATTCTGTTTATCTTCACTACTGGAGCAAATGTCTCCTAATAATCTACTTCGTATGTCTAAGTATATTCCTTAGCAACCAGCCTTGCTTATAAATCTCTTAAGTGAGTCATCAGCTTTGTATTTCACAGTATAAACCCATTTACAACCAATGAGGTTATTCCCATTTGGCTTGTCAACAATCTTCCATGTCTTGTTTCTCTCTGGTGCATCCATCTCCTATCTCATAGCATTCCTGCATTCTTCTTTTGATAATGCTTCAAATAAATTGTTGGGAATAGAGATAGTGTTTAGACTAACAATAAAATTCCTTTGAAGTGGTGAAAACCGATTAAGTGATACATAGTGGGATAGTGGATATATTGGTTACTTTGTACATTCTCTGGTACCTTTTTTAATAGCAATAGGAACATCAAAGTTTAGCAGGGCCTGAGTTGGCAGCTTGGACTTGTTTCAGGTTTGGAATGACTTGTTTTCTTTGTTGGTTAATTGATAAACCTGAGAAAATCTCATGGAGTCATAAGGATGGGTAGACACTGGTATAGCCACAGGTTCATTTGAAGGTGGAGTAGAGTCTTGACTAGTGGTGGACTATTTGCCTTTAGTGGTGGATTGATATTCACTATCTTCTTTAAGTAACTTCTCATCCTGAAGATGCGACTCTGAGAAGAATGGTTATGTTCAACAAATATGACATCTATACAGGTATAATATTTTTTAGAGGATGGATGGTAGTGTTACCCTTTTTATGGAAGATGAGTAGTCGAGAAACACACACTTAATTGCTCTAGGGTCTAATTTCCTTCTATTTTGGTTATGAATGTGGACAAAGGAGGTACAACCAAAAACTCTAGGTAGAAGGCCATTTGATGTTCTAAAATGCGGGTAGAATTGAGTGAGAGTTTCCATAGGAGTTCTATAGTCCGTCCAACACTCGGGAAAGTAGCCTATTGATCATGTAAGTTGCAGTTACGATAGCTTCTCCCTAATATGATTTTAGAACATTTCCATGAAATAATAGTGCCCAGGTTGCATTAAGTAAATGACTATTTTTCCTCTCTGTTACCCCATTTTATTGTGATGTATTGACACAGGAAGATTCATGAATAATCCCCTCTTTTTGAAAATATGATGATAAACTTTGATTGAAATAATCCCTTGCATTGTCTGATCTAAAAGTTTTTAATTTTTAACCCAAATTGGTTTTGAATCATAGAATGAAAATTAGGGATATGTTACACTCACATTAGATTTTTACTTAAGTAGGAATAGTCATGTAACCCTAGTACAATCATCAATTAGGGAAACAAACCACTGAGACCCTGAAATGTTGGGAATTGTGGATGGTCCCTAGATGTCACTATGACCCCCAGATGTCACTATAAACCAAATCAAATGGATGAGACACGTGGATGTCTTGCAATCTCACAAACATTACAATGAAAATCACTAAATTCCCAACCTTTACCATTTTATCTAAGACTCTAAAAGACGGATGACCAAGGCGGAAATGGTGAAGCCAAATGGTATCTTTATTAGACGAACTAAGAAATGATGAAGACGCTTTATTCATGACCTTCTCCGAAGCATTTGGTGTTGCAAGATAGTAAAGTCCATTCCTTTCCTTAGCAAGTCCAATCTTCCTCCTCGAACACTGATCCTGAAAAGCACAGTAAGACGGATAAAAAATTGCATAACATTTGAGATCTTTTGTAAGCTTTTGAATGGAGACAAGACTTGTTGATAATTTTGGTACGTGAAGGACATCTCTAAGGATAAGTGAGGGTGTTACATAGATATCACCTATTCCTGCAACCATAGTTAGGGGGCCATTTGCTACAACAATCTTTCTATCACTCGGACAATGAGTGTAGGTGCTAAAATGTTGTGAGGTGTGCGTCATGTGATCAGTGGCCCCTAAGTCTATTATCCAAGAGTTGACAAAACTTTTATCTGAGGTATGCAATTCAAATGAAAATGGAGGCTTAGTTGAGGGTGCCAATGAACACATACTAGATGGTTTCTCGAGTGATCCTAACAAACTTCGAATTTTAGCAACTTTCTTACTATTGAATCCACCCTTCTCCTCAGTTTTATCTAGTTGCTTGGTCGGATAAGCCTGGAATCTGGGCTGACCTCCACGGTTTCCCCACTCTCGGCCCAAGGTTGATGGTTTGCCGTGTAATTTCCAGCAACGTTCCTTCATATGCCTAGGCTTCTTACAGAAAGTGCACCATAAGTCGTCTTTGTTGGCTTTCCACTGGTTGTCTTTATGGGAAGCTGGACAAGTCTACCTTTCCTCTTTCTCGGTTTTGATGTTCAGTTTTGGTCACCAAAGCTGATCCCCCTACTGCTCGTGGCTCCAACATCACACCCCGTCTACTTTCTTCTGCCCGAATTAAAGAAATAGTCTCCTCCAATGAAGATGTTTCTTCCTTGCTGAGTATTTGAACTTTAACCTGATCAAATTCTGGATTGAGCCCCGCCAAAAAATCATAGACCCCATCCTTTTCCATAAAATTCTTCAAAATGGCAGCATCTTCTAAGCATTTCATCTTGAACACCCAATAGTGATCCAACCTGTTGCCATAGATTTTTTAGAATATTCCAATATTCTGTCACAGTTTTGGCCCCTCGTTTGGTTGCACCGGTTTTTGTCTTAATCTCGTACACTTGGGCTGCATCACAAGCTTTAAAGTAGGTTCTATGAATAGAATCCCATATCTCTTTTGCCGTTGTCAGGAACATGCAAGTATCACCACTAATGGCTGGATCCATTGAGTCCCACAGCTATGACATGATCCAATAGTCAGCTTCATCCCATGCTTCAAAAGTTGGCTCTTCCTCTTTAGGTTCGGTTCCGAGAATGTGATCGAGTCTCCCTTTGCCCTTCAGATATGTTCTAACAAATTGAGACATTTGAGATAGTTTTTCTCATTTAATCTACACGTAGGACGAATATTTTGTAGATCTCCAGTCATGTTAATCAAGTTGAATTCCTTCGATTGATCAGTAACAACATGTGAGGCAGTGGCTTCCATAATAGACATGACGAAACACGTTCAAATGAACGGATGAAACCCGCAGCGATGAATGGACGCTGAGACAAAAGAAAAAACAAAACGCAGCAATGAAGGCTGAAAAACTGAAGCCCAAGAGACCTAATTTAGGCTCTGATACCATGTTGTAATTTAGAGAATTAATCTGAAAGTAATTCATATATTTTCAGTGTAAATAATACAGCATATATATAGACTATTCTAGGAGAATAGGAAACTACCCAACAATATTTTGTAACAACCCGCAGCTCTTATCTCTTAATTTAAGGGATGAGAATAAATCTTTCCTAACTAATTTACATCATATTTACTCCTAATAATCGGCCACTAATTTATTCCATACGAGAGTTGTATAATTTTTTTATTCTTTGAAATAGCCTTTCCGTGTTTTGAATATGATGTCTCTTTCGAAACTTTATATGGCATGAGCTGATTTAAAGAGATTTAAGTTTTATCGACCTCTATTAAATTTAAAAGAAATAAAATGATTTACAGGGATGTTCATATTATAGATAAACACCCATCTTTAAGTCTCTCAAGTCTTATCTAAAATTCCCTAAGTAGCACCAACTTTCATATCTGATCCATGAGGAATTAGTGGCTCTAGTGTCATCATTCAGAAGCTGAAGATGGTAACTAGTATTATAATTAATTTATATGAAACAAAGACTTAAAGATTTAACTTCTATTGATAGCTCAAGATAGTAATTAGTATTTTAGTTATAAAAAGAGAGATTAAGATGAACTAGTATCAATTATGTTTACCAAATTTAATGAAAATACAATTGATTGCAGAAGATTTTTTATTTATTATTATTATTATTATTATTATTATTATTATTATTATTATTATTATTTTGCGCCTGTCAAATATATTTTTTCGATTTTCATTCAAACAGAGTAATCAGATTGTGGCACTGAAGGTGCTGTTTAAAAGCGAAGTGAAACAGTCTCAGGTTGACTACGCCGTGAAATTGGAATTCAAAGCCATCTTCGACATCCTAACATACTACTACTCTATGGTTATTTTTATGACCCGGTGTGTTTGAGTTTGTCTGGTTTGTATTAAGAAGAAAATTTTATGTTGGGCTAATCTATATCACAATAATTGTAGAAACGAGTTTTTTTTTTTTTTTTTTTTTTTTTTTTTTTTTTTTTTTTTTTTTTTTTGTCTGGTTTATATTAGAAGAAAATTTTACGTTGGACTAATCTATATCACAATAATTGCATAAACGAGTTTATTTGATCTTGGAGTATGCTGCCAAAGGAGAACTATATAAGGAGCTGCAGAAATGTAAATATTTTAGTGAAAGACGCTCTGCTACCGTAAGTCCTTTCACTGTTTCCAGTGCTTTTCCTCCTAAAACTCATCCATGAATCTTTAATTCTTAATAGTCTTCATACATTTTTTGAGCTTAAGACTGACTAGAAGTCAAATATTTTATGGGACGTGAACAGTATGTTGCATCATTAGCTAGAGCACTCATCTATTGTCATGGAAGGCATGTGGATTCATAGAGATATTAAACCAGAGAACCTTTTGGTTGGAGCGCAGGTATTTATCGGCATTTATTTGTTAGTCTTGTATGTTTCTTAGTGAAAGTACTAAAGATTTTGCTCACAACATTGTATTAAATTGTCAGGGTGAGCTCAAAATTGCAGATTTTGGTTGGTCGGTGCACTCATTTAACCGCAGGCGAACACCGGAGATGGGTGTGCTTATTTACTACTTGGAATTTGATTGTCGAATATTACATCTATGCATGATTCATTCAGACTACAAATACTGACTTATTTCTCATTTGTGAAATGGATTCTTGAGCTCTATTATTCTTAGTTTATAGTTACCTAAGGAGTAGTAATTTCACGAACCAAATTTTGATAAATAAACATGCTTATCCATTGTTTCCGGGTTGCTTATTATTTATTTACCAAAAATCAAATGTTAAACTTGCAGTTGAGAGTGTGAAGCATGATGCAGATGTGGACATATGGAGCCTTGGTGTTTTGTGCTACGAGTTTCTTTATGGGGTGCCTCCATTTGAAGCAAAAGAGCACGCAGACACGTATAGAAGGTAAATGTTGCTATCTTTGGTTGGCGATTTTATCAATAGCCCGAGTACATGGATTAAAGAAACTGAATGAGCTACATACCAAATTATTTGATCAATAGAATGCAAATAAGTAATTTTTCCAGCAAATGATAGTCATAGAAATAATGTTTTCATCAAAGTTGAGCAATATTATCCGAGCCAGATAATCAGACAAATACCAAACTTAGCCCTTGTTTGATACTTATTTTTCTCAAAATACATTTTTTCTCTCTCTTCTTTTCAACCAAACATTTTTCAATAAAATAATATTACACGTAAAACTGAAATTTTTTCTTATTTCTTAACCACACATTTTTAATCAATTAACTATTTCAAAATGCATTCTTCCTAAAAAAAAAAAAAAA